AGGCTTTCTTTCTTTTTTGCCCCTCCCCCCCCCCCCCCCCCCCAGCAGCCGCTTCCACCCGTAACATCAAAACGCTCCCGACGGAAACAGACGAACTTTTCGCCCGAAATTCTGCAACCGATCATTTTTCATGTTTGCGAGCCCCATGTTGTTTCTATTACTTCAACAATCCATTTCGCATTACCAGCAACGGTCACGAGGAACCTGATAAATACGGACACCCCAAACTAAGCTGAACAAAAGTGGAGATAAGGGACATTCCTGGCATATCCCACTTGTTATGGAGAAACTGGATGGCTCCTTCTATTGCGTAACGTGAATAAATGGCAATAACATTAACAAACTTCGACGGTGTTCCTCATTTATCGAATATATATGTAGAAAGGCCAACTTGTCAACAGAGTAGAAGACTTTTTTGAGGCCGATGAAAACCGTAGTATTATTGAAGCTAGTAACCATGTTGCGACCAAAGTGAAGTTTATGCCCTTGTGTCCGCCTCAGGCACCCTTTTCAATAATGGTACAATGAATGATTGGTTCCAGATTATCGAAACACATCCTCGTTCCGAACTTAGTTTAAGCAACCCGGACAAAGTAAAACACAAAGGCTCACCACCGCCTTTCTATAAAGCTGATGGGTCCGATGCTGTTTCAGGATATAAAGACATAGTGATACTTCAAAAACTGAGGGGGTCTAAACTCAGAGATCACAGCTGGAATCGAGCTGGTCTAACGAAAGACGTAGATACATGGACAGATGACCAACTGGTATTGTTCAGAATGTTCAGTCCAGCGGCCAAGATGCTGATTTTTGTTGAATATTAAATTTCCAACATCATGCTCACTAACAGTCGCTTTTTATCTCGCTAAAATCTTCGACGATACTGGTTGCATTAGGTTCCTACATTTCCAGGGCCTTCTGGTTCCGCCAGGTTTATTCACCTGTATACAAGCCACAACGATATATAACGGTCATTCCGGCTGAACTATGGTCATCGTTTGAAGGGACAGAACGTCTCGCATTAAGGATGGAGTGCTTAATTGAAGAGTCCACAGTAACATCATTTAACGAGTTTCCTGTAATATGAGTGGTGATGTTCATCTTGTCCCAACTCTGATTGACGTTTCCAAAGGAGGCGGATTTAAAGCTTGGTATAAGTCAGTTTGATAAGTGTTTAACTTCTGGATAAAAAATCCTCGATCGCTAAGTTGGGGGTCTGTTTCTTCGGTCCCTCGAGAAACGCGTTACAAATCCCCACGGACGTGAGTGGTTTAGAAAGACTTACAATTGAGAATCGAGCCTCACCACCGGATATTTTTGGCTATGTGGTCAATCTGGCTATGTGGTTTCCCAGCAATAGGGGATGCCAGATGCAACGATATTTACTGCAGATGAATCCACTACTAATGTGGATCATTTTTTTAGTTGGCCTGTTGTATACAGGAACTAAGGCGACCCGGATGATGGGATCACGCGACGGCTGTGACATGAGACTATTGATACTGATGTAGTTCCATGGTGTCCTAACCAAAACTAGCGGACGGTTAGAACTCTCAACCAAAGCCTTTTGCTCGAAGGCCGGACGACAAGACAGCGGTGGTTGGCGTGAGACTACCACAGTAGTGCATGCATGCTCCAGCTCACAACATGGAAGGCCGTGGAACTGTGCTAGTCCGGTCTTCACCCATTGGCGAATATGGAACGAGAACCCGCATATGGCAAACGGGCAACCCTAGTATGGCCCAATGATCTATGGAAGTGGATATACCATCCCAACATGATACGGTTGTTACGGAGAAAGCAAAATGGAGACTATAGAGTTCATTCTTTCTAAAAACCTTTTGATGGCCATCCTGAAGACAACGTCCTTCCAAACGGTCACTAGTATGGGACCAGAAGCCATCGCCTTATGAGCGTCATGCTGATTTAAGAATTAAATGTGCTGTGAACATTCCTCGAACACTATTGTAAAACAGAGGACATCGTCTCCAAATTTCGAGGACATAATCAAGGTCTGCATCCAAAACTGGTCTTCAGCAGTCTTCTGTTCAAATGCACATTGATTGCAATCATCATCCTCATCGTCATCATCATAATCATCGACAGCATGACATCAGTGCTCAACACCGATGCTTCACTGCCGTACAACCATGATTTATTTGAAAGCCTTATTGTAAAGAAAAGAGTAAAGGTGGACTGGGAAGGGACTTAGTGCTAGCTTAACACAACCATTCCGAGGTGCCTATGACTCCAGACACTCACTCAGGCGATCTGGATAGAAAATGACAACAAGAACGCCACTGACATCGGTTGGCAGCTATATCTTGTAGTGTCTCTAACCAGGCACAGTGAGAATCACGCGGTCCCCATCCTGGAAGGCGAGTAGCACCGACAGCACCCAAGCGCTTCGTGATCTCCTTCATACCCCTCTGCCAAGTCAAGGGTTGGACACCACTCTGAATTGGGCATGGAAAACAGCACTCTCTTAGGCAAACGATGGCTAGGCATATGCAGCATGTTCCAACCAACGCAGCTTCTGGTGCTGGACACATTCTTCAATGGAAGTACCCGTTGCACGACCTAAAACGCGCCTCTAACTGCCTCGTTGCGGATTCGCCGACACCAACCCACACGAGCTGTGGTTCTGAGACAACGATTGTCGAACATCTGAAGACGTCTTAGTTCAGCTGCTCGAATAGGCCAAATCTCACAGCCGTACAACAAAACAGCCCGCACTGTAGCTTGATACACACGTCCCTTCAGATTCAGGGATGCACCACTCTGACGCCATATGTATCTCAAATTAGCAAACGTGACCCGAGCGTTACAGATTCGTGCATTGACCTCATCCGTCACACTACAGTTGGAACTAATACAATGCAACCTCCAGGACACCTAAAATGCTCCATAACTTTCAGGGTCTTCCCCTGGATTGTAAGTGGCATGTTCAGTTACCGTATGTCCAGGAGCATGACCTTACACTTTGTGGGTGCAAAGTGAATACCAAAGGACTGGATGACTTTGGTCAGTTCATCCAAGAATACTTGCGTCTTCTCCTCCTCTTCGAATATAAGAACGATACCATCGGCATATTCCCGATCGACAAGGTTTTCGTCACAGGCTATTTGAACACCGGGGTTTTGGAGACCTCACAATGTTCGTCTCACGTCGATCACGAAGTTGAACAGGAATGGAGAGAGTGGGCATCCCCGACGGACACCACTTTGTGTACCGGAGCTTTTGGAGAGCTCGCCGTATACTCTTACACGTCCGGATGTCTGGGAATACAAAAAGTTTATTATGTTCAAAAACCTCCCAGATATTCTTTGGTGGGCAAGCGTCGCAAGAAGAAGAGAGCGATCAACCGAGTCAAAAGTGCCTTGGAAATCCAGGAACACTGGCATTGTGGGTCGCTTATACGTATGGCGTTGTTCTACTACCTGACGAAGTGTGAAGATTTGACCAATGCAACCCCTACCAGGCCGGAATCCCGCTTGTTGCTCTCGAGTCAGTATCTCACGAGCCACCGTAAGGCGACGAAGCACAATTGACGCCGACAGTCTCGTTACGACCGAGGTCCAGCTGATCCTGCTGTGGTTATCACACTCGACACACCCTTTTTTTAAAAACGGGCACTAGCAAGGACCCTCCCCAGTTGTTTGGGACAAACTCCTTTTCCCAAATGCAGGCAAAGAGATCGAACAAGCGCTGACTGAGGACTTCAGCCCCGTCTTTGAATAGTGCGGGCGGGAGGTCATCCGGACCAGGAGCTCGGTGGCGCTTGAAAGAACATACGCAGTTGGAAACCTCCGAGCCGTAGGTGGTTCCACGTTCACCGTCCAGGGTTCTACTTCACCTATGGGCTCTAGATGATTGCCAGCTCGTGGCCACGACAGTTGCTGTTTGAAGTATTCAGCCCACCGGTCGCCGACAACGGTTGTCCGTGTTCAGTGACTGAATGTCCAGGAGCATCACCTTAAACTTTGTGGGTGCAAAATGGCTACTAAAGGACTTCGGCCAGCTCCCAGGAAATTCCCGTATCTTCTTTTCCTCTTCGAAAATGAGAACGATGTCATCTGCGTGTTCCAGATTGACAGGGCTTTCGCCAGCAGCTATTTCAACATGGGGTTTCCATCGTGATCACTGAGCAAATGTGGATAATTGAACTGACCGAATTGATATGAACGCACCCTTGAAACCAAGGTACATTAAAATTTCTAATCATCTGTACATACGGCGTTACCCTAAAACCTAACGAAGGGTGAAGATGTGGACGACTTAGTCTCCATTCGGTCCAAACCCCGCTTGGTGCTTACAGGTTGCTTCAAGTGACACCAGGAGCCCTATTATAGTAGGAGTCAAACTGACACTCCTGTGGTTGCTACATTCATTGCCAAAAATTTTTGAGAAGATAGACACTATTGTCACATCATCTCAGTTGTCTCGGATAGCCGGATAGAAGAAAACAGGCTATACAGACACTGGCTGAGGAATTCACCCTTACCTTTGAACAGATTCAATGGAATGCCCACGATGACACATAAATGGAACTATACACTCAGACACTTCTGATGCAGAATGGGGCTCAATATTCACAGTCCACCTTTCTGTTGAATTCCGACAGTCCGGACTGGAGGCAGCATGTAGCCAAATGATATCCAAGTTGTTCGCAGCATTATTTCTAACGGTCCAATCGTCCACCTTTGCTAAATATAACAAAGCCGTGTTCCTGTTAGTTCTGGTGATAAGACTTTGAGAGCCAGCCGAACGAATCAAGTACAACACCCTGCGAATGTTTCCAGTATTTTCCGCACCTTTGATTTCCTCGGGCCCTCGGATACCCCAAGTTTCCCGGACAGTCTCACATGGCGTCGAACGACGCATCCGGTGGAGTTGTAGTTGTGGCCAGGAGGAATCTGGCACCGGGCCCCCAACAAAGCCAGTGTATTAGAATTTGGCCCGTGAATGTCCAATTGTAGCAAAATAACCTATGACACTACATCCACCTGATTCCACCCGTGTTGATCCCCTTCGGCCACTAAAGTCTGTTGGCATCAAAGATATTCATCGCCTGTCCACTCAACAAAACGACGTCCGTCATTGGGCTGTCCGAAGTTGAAGTGCGCCAACGGGATAATGACCCAGCACTGTCACGTACAACCTGCTGGCACTACCGTAATTACTTTCCTTATATCCTTGACTATCCCCTCTCACCAAATCGGACCCTTCTCTGCAGAAACGAATAAAGTTCCTGCCTGGACCTGTCTGTCTCTAGGACGCGTTCAAAGATGCACATGATCTAGGCTTTCGCCCAGACTTCGCGGGCCGGGTTTGTTCTTGTCGCTGACCTCTGGCAACGGACCCTTCCCTGCAGAAACGAATAAAGTTCCTGCCTGGACACTACTGTCTCTAGGACGCGTTCAAAGATGCACATGATCTAGGCTTTCGCCCAGACTTCGCGGGCCGGGTTTGTTCTTGTCGCTGAACGGCCTCTGGCAACCTGGAAGGCACAAGCGAAATAGGGTGCAGTTCTCAGCGCTGGGCAATAATTTCGCCAAGCTGAGGACTCACGTAATCAAGCCCCCAAGAGTACTTCAAACTGGGTTCCAGGTGCAGCGCGAAAAACCGTCGGAGGATGCTTTATCCGTGCATCAACTGCCCGGAATGAGAAATATTGTTGTGCGATAAAGAAAACAAAACAGTTCAGCTGTAGCACCCTTTCGGTGCCTAACTGCCATACCACCCGAAGGAAGCATGAGGGCTGGGATACTGCCAGATTACCCAAGCCTAGACAGCAGAAGAAGAGTCAGAGTTCGGGTTCGAATCACAAACCTTCCGGCCGGTGAGTCTGTGCTCTAACCACTGAGGCATCTAGCCCATCTCGTCCAATAAAGATGTCCTTTGACATTAAAAACGTTGTTACCGTATGTTCGCCGAGTACTAGTGGTTTCAACGGTAAAGACCTCGTGGTCAAGCCTTGTCCAATGAAGACGTAGACACACATTCGGTTATCCTTGGGGTCGAAATTATTCCGGGTCGACGGTTCCGAATTTCTGTTTAACCCAAGCTGGCCACCCAATTTGGCCTCAGCAGTGCCTAGTCTGCGTATCTGAGCATTCATGTCACTAGCAAGCAAACGACGTCTGAGCGTTCGGTCCAGTTTAAAAGAGTAGATCATCTAAACTTTCCTCAACGGGCTTACAGCTGCAGCCCGTCAGGTTGTAAGCAGACAAAAAACGGGGAGAAAGGGACCTCATTTACTCGTGATTACTTCACAGACTTCGCCGGACTGCACATGGCCGACTACCAGCGCATATCCAAACAAGCAGAGACGCCGCCGCTCGATCGCTCAACGCCACACCCACAGTTGCATATACAGCTTCAGCGGCCTTTGTATCGTCAAAGTTGCGCAGCCTAGCAACTTGTCGCCTCACCCTGGTGGGAAAATTGATCCTACGCATTCATTTGAAGGCTATTCAAGGATTAACACACAAAATTGAGAAACACGACAAAACTTCCAGAGTCTGGTTTGTCCTATTCTTCATCTGAAAGGCACAAAAGAAAAAAGACGTAACAATCATCCTCAAGTACTCACCGTGAGGCCAGAGCGGAAACAAATAAAAAGTCGTTTAAACAGCTAAGAACTGTGTTCTAGATATGAGGCAGGCATTTGTGGGATTGAGGTTATTCCACGCAGCAACTACCCGAAATGAGAAAAACCATTCCCACAAAAAAGGAACGCAATGGGCTTCCAATTTTTCCGCCATGTCCCCGCCGTGTACTAGTTAGGTCAATGGCGAAAAACCTGTTGGTCAAACCTTGTTCAAACAGGGCATAAGTAAGAAGTAGATCCCCTGGAAGGCGACGACACTCCAGAGAAAGAGGTCAAGCACCACGAGATACGCTCCATGGTCTTTTAGGCAGGAATCCACGCGGATCCCACTATACCGCACGTCTTTAGGCGCTGCTACGGCCGACAAGCCTGGCCCGCTCGAGGTTGGCCCAGAATTCAGGACGCTTGCCGGTCCGGCATCAAGGCGAGATCTGATTGGTAAACAATCTGGACACAACAGCCAATCATGACCCAGTATTGGCCAAATGCCGGTTGCCAATGGCGCATCCAGAACGCGTCAGAAATTCCAGAAAGTCATAACCACTTGCGCTATATATACGAAGCGCTGTACAACTGTTCTTGACTTCGTTTTGGGCGTTAATAGACCTTGTGCACCTTTGGTGGTTGGTTTGACGTGACCGCTATCTTGGGAGGCTCAGACCGAGAACTAAGCTGAGGAGAATACCATTACTACAATTGGCGAACGGGAACCCACGTTGTCAATCGGATTTGAGCAGCTCCGAGAACTATTGCAGCAGCAACAAAAGCAGTTTGAAGAAGCGCAACTGAAGCTCACTGAATCACTGACTGCATATCCAACAGCTGCAGTCAGTACTGGTGAGTCTTCTGTTTCCTCAACTGATGCAGCCGCGGCCTCAATTACGGAGTTCGCATTTGACACTCTTTCTGGTCACACTTTTGACTCCTGGTTCAAGCGGTACGAAGACATGTTCAAGACTGATTTTTCCAAATTTGATGATGGATGGAAGGTCAGACCATTGCTGCGAAAACTCGGCACACCGGAGCATGA